ATTTATAGAATTGTAAAAGGCTCTTCTTTCTTTTTTTAACAGAAGGTGGCAAGCCAAAGCATATATTAACACCGCTCTCAGATTTCCTGCCCAATATCTACATTGACCTCAGAAACCTACAAAATTACTCTTGCTGGACTTACTGGAAAAAGAGGAACTGGGAAAAAAAAATCAGAGGAGCTAAACAGAACTATTTTGAAAATGCTAATAAACCAGGTAGATGACTAGCACATAAATTGAAAAAAGAAAGAGAATCAAAGAAAATATTGCAATTAAAAAACAATCAAGGGCAAATTTGCTATGGAATGGTAGAGAAGAAGAAAATTATACAAGATTACTATGGTAAGCTGTATGAACAAGAGAATTTAGAAAAGGAAAGAGTTAAACAATACTTACGAGGATTAGTTGTAAACCATAGAAGTATTCATGCTTTATGAACTGCTGTGAAATAACTTGGCAATTTTGAAGCTAATAGCAGCTGAATAGTAATATGATGTCAAAGTAGTGTATGAGTAATATGTTTCCTTTAGTGCATTTTTGGATGGGGTGGTCTTCAAATTAGTGTGAATCCTGGCGATGCCTAGATGAGTGCCTGCAGTTTTCTTGGCAAGATTTTCAGAAGAGTTTTGCCATTGCCTTCTTCCCCTGAGTGAGAGGTAGTGAGTGGCCCAAGGCCACCCAGTGGCTGGAAGCATGGTGGCTCAGTGGCTTAAAGATGCTGGAGAAAGTCTGTGTTCTGCCAGTTTGAGTCCTAGAACGATCTTCCGGGATAAGCTCCTGCACTTGCCTTGGTTTCTGTTAACCTAGCAGTTTGAGAGCATGCTACATGCAAGTAGATAAATAGGAACCGCTTCAGTGGGAAAAATAATGGCAATTCATGTGGAAGAATGAACGCAATCAATGCTGGATCTGCCCGAGTGCAATGTCCTAATGCGAGGTGACATCAGTGGAGGGAAGAATTCCTGGCAGCTAATTGCCATTAGCCATTCTGAGTGCATTCTAGTTCACCCCCTGAGGTACACTTTTAGATAGCGTGTGAGCGTGAACCAAATAGACTAGCAGTCTTAGGCAGACAAACAGCTACTCTGTATTAACACTATATGTAGTCTCCTAGCTAATATACCAACATCTTAAGCTAAATAAATCCCATGACTTCGTGCCTAAGGCAGGATTAGAAGTGATAGTCTCCTGGCTTCTAGCCTGATGTCTTAACCATTACACAAAATTGATTTTGTGCATTTAATAGTACAATTATTTTTCTTGTCCCATGAATGAGAAGCATTCCTCTTCAATTTTGACTTGGTGAAATTTATGCAAGTCTGACTTTAATCATATTTATAGCTTTTTTATCTTGAGTGCTATACATAGGCTCATACATTAGTTTCCCACAGAATAGTTGATGTATGTTTACAAAGAATCCTGTAATGAATTCAGGTGATCAGCAATGGCTTTATATTTACATATGGATACTAGTCATCCTGTAATCCTTCATTCTATTTAAAACCATCCCTTACATATTAATCTATAATACTAGATTACAGATTACTCATCTTTAATCCATATTATAGATTATTATACTAGATTATATACTATAAAGAACACAAAATGCTGTTCAATGACAAACCTTTTATGTTCTTTTTAAATGCTTCATTGCATTAAAAACAATGAACAAATAGAATTTTAATTCTATAACTTCACATTTGGGAAAAGTAATTTATTACCTACCTTACTTAGCAGTGATCTTTAAGTTATTTCTGTTGAAAGGTAAATATTATTTAAATAAAAATTAAAGGTGCAATGCTGTTATTGTTAGGAAGCCTCTGTGAGACAGAAAATAATAATAATATCCTTTGAGAAATCTTTTCTACATTTTGCTCCTCAGTTCTTTAGAAATACTTCCTAAATTTCACATTAATTAGAACAAATGTGTCTTAAAAGATTTGACTGAACTATTAAAAAAATAGAATATGTAAACAAAATTAAGATTTTCAAAGAATGAATATTTAATCACATGTGTCATAACATTATGTCTGTAGCAAGTATGTTCTTGGCCATATACTCCATGATTTTCAAGCAATGCAAGGACCAAATTTTAGCTAAAAAATTGCAGGAAAATATTTTTTGGATTTAAGTCCATTTGCAATATTATATTTCAATTTAGATAAGGAGACCTGCTAACCCTCTACCATATTGTCAATTAATAATGCTTTGCTAAGTTAGATTTCATTCTGCCTTAGTTTCATTTTAAGCCTTGTAATAAAAATTTAATACTTAGGAGTGATTGGATGATACAATAATCTATGAATTCACATGATGTTCAAAATATTTGGAATCTCTTAATAGTATATTTTAGGAAATAATAGAAATACAAATTACATGAGCAAATAATATTTTGGGTCATTTGTCAATTAATGAGATATTTTTGAAAAAATCCTTTTTAGCCAAAGGTGGCTTTCTAAAAGATGACCATAGAGGAACTTCCTGACCCTTCTGAAGAAGAAGTTTCATTGAGTACAAGGCACCAGTATTTTATCTCAGGCTCCGAAGATTCAATTACACATTCAGTCTCTGCTGCACCAATGCCTTCAGAATACGGTAAGACTATTTATAAAATAAGATAACTTTGCAGAGCTGGTTTCAGAATATTGAATGAATGGAGATTGATTCCAAAGGGGTGCTTGGAATGTAAAATAAAACTTATCAACATTATCTGGGAAATATTACAATTCTTTTCTTAAAATGTGCTGTATGCTAGATGTAGTGAATTACCTTTCTCAGAATAGCTTTATTATATAAGCAGTGCATAACACGCATCTTGTAAAATCATTTGGTTTCCAACATAAAAAATATAGTTTAGTATGGAATATATAAAATTGTTTTCCTACCAGGGCATCAAGAACAATTTTGAGTGCTATGAGAAAAATTTGTGCAAGTGTCATCGAAGCTGTTGTACAATACTTTATATGCTAGTCATGTGAAAAATGAATATTGTGTAATATATTAGAACTTTTTTCCTCTTTGGGCATCTTTTCTTCATGCAAGACTACAAACAAGCGAGTGAATAAATAACCTCTTCCAAAATAACCTCTCACAAAAACAAATTATCTCAGATTTGCATATATTGTAATTAATTAAACCATACTGCAATTAAATAAGGCAGTTCAATAAAAATATATAATTTAATACAAAGCTAAATAAAATGTTAATCAATAACAAATAACATATTTGTTAAACTGAACTAAATTTAAAAATGAAATTGAGAAATTAAGAAAGAACAAAATGAATTGTAGCTGCTTGCTTACATTTCAGAGGATACTTTTATCTGTCCTTTTGTTAAAGATAGATTTTNAGATGGGTCTATAGTTCTTAATTTGTGATAAATCAGCCTCCTCTTTGGATAGGAGTGTAATATATGCCTCTGACCATGATTTGGGTATCCTACTATCTGACATCGCCTCATTCATAACTTCCAGTAGTGGGATGGACAACAAATCTTGAAAAGTCTTGTAGAATTCTGTAGATAGCTCATGTGGGCCTGGAGCCTTGCCGTTATTTTGTTTTTTAAGTGCTTCAGTTAATTCCATCATAGTTATTCTACTTTCTAGTAATGTTTCCATTTCTTTAGATATCTGGGGAGATGAAGGGGGCGTGGTGTCGCAGTGGAATGGTCGGACTTTCCTGGAGTCCCAGGATCGCCACTGAATTCTGGTCATTTGGACGGTCCATTCGGACCTAAATCGTCCTGTAGAGATGGTGATAGGCAAGGGTACATCCTGTCGATCCCAGAGACACCCGCAAAGTCTCTGGTGATCCAGGAAAAAGCCCCCTTTGCCAGCGACTAAGAGTCAGCCTCATGGCTGCTGAAACTGCTAACCATCCCGAACATAAGCGCTGGAGAGAAGCATGTCGATTTGGTGAAAGTTTTAATTTTCTTTTTCTTTGGAGAGAGAATACCCTAAAACTTGGAGATTTTACTTAAAGAAAGAAAGACTAATAAGAAAATAAGCGGTGGTTGTAAGAAATAGTTAATTGAATGTTTCCTTTTTTTTTCCTTTTTAATGCCGGAAGCCTGACTGGACTCAAGAAGCGATTTGAAGTGATTTGATTTGATCTTGGACTAGCCCTTTGTGCTTTTCTTCTTACTTACTCTGTTGCACTTTTTTCTTTTTGGAATCATTGTTACAATTACGTTGGAATTGACCTAGAATTTTTTCCCCCTTTTTGTTAGGGTTTTTGTTAATTATTTCTGTTTTTCTTAGAGAAAGTTAAAGGCAGAGTGTAACATTGTAACAAGGGTTGATATTGAAACAAGTATCACTGCCACCTAGTGGTTTTGGAACAATGTTTTTATTCTTGCATGAATGTTTGGAGAAAAACTTTTCAAGGCTATTTAGTTAGATATGCTAGTGAGAGGAATACAGCTGTTTCGAAAATTGCGAAAATTATTTTGAAAGAATAAACCAAATCTTTCTTTTTAAAGGGGAAAGCTTAGAGTGACCTTGGAAAGGCTTTCGCCTGATAAGGACTTTGAACTTTTCCTTTTTTTTTATTCCCTTTTGGTGGCAGTGTTTATCTCACCTTGTTTTGGAAGTTGTGGTTTCACTCTGTCTACTTTTTCTGTTTTGATTTTTCATTTAGAGTGTTTCAAGTGTGTTTGGACTAAATAAAATCTTAATATTTTTTTTCTCTTTTCCTTTTTTTATCTTCTTCTTTTTTTCTTTTTATAACTATTTACATAGAAGAGACCCAAGAATTTTTGTTTTTACTTTTTAATCTCCTTTTTTCCCCTTCCTGATTTTTGATCTTCCATATTATCTTCCATATTTGATCTTGCATATTTTTTCCCTTCCCTTCTCCTCTTTTTTTTCTTGCTCTTTCTCATCTTTCACTTTTTGCTTCCTCACATTTAAAATCAAACACAAAAAGGAAGATGAGTAGAAAAATAGCAACTGTTGGCTCCGCAACAACAATACCCTCCTCTTCACCCGCAGGAGGGCAAAGATCAATACAGACGATGCTTCAACAGGAAAAGGACAAGGGTGTTACGTTAGAGGCAATTATGCAAGGAATACAAAAATTGGAAGCAAGAGGGGAGAGTATTGAGAAGAGGATAGAGTATATAGAACAAAAGACAAGTAAAACAGAAGAAAAAATTGAAACGATTCAACAATGGATGATGAAATATGAAGACACTACAAAAAATTGAAGAAAGGGATGAAGAAAGAGAGAAGAAAATGGAGAACATTGATAGTAGACTGAACATAGTGGAAAATGATAGCAGCGGAATACTGGGATGGGAAATGGATTAGTCAGAATTTTTTTTAAGATTTCAAAACATAGAAGAAGAAAAAGGTGAAGACTTGGCGCAAATAATATCAGAATTATTGAAAGATGTGTTAGAGATTACTCAAGAGTAGAGATTACTCAAGAGAAGAGGATTGATGGCATAGACGAGGTATTTTGAGTCTACATGAGATATGGAGCGAGAAATGGATTACTGAGGGAAGTCCATGTAAGATTTACTAAGAAAATAATTAAATCACAAATTCTACAGAAAACAAGAGATAGAAAATTGGAATATAAAGGGAAGGAGATTGTAGTGTTGAAACAAATTCCAAGAAGAGTGAGAGAGATGAGAAGAACATATCAATTCTTGACTAAGATTCTACTCAAGAAAGGCGTTAACTACAGATGGCTTATACCAGAAGGTTTAATATTTACATGGCAAGGACAAAGATACAAAATAGACACAACCGATAAGGCAGAAGCATTTTTAATGAACATTTGAAAGGAAAGGCTGAGGAGACCAGAAGAGAGGATCCATTGGTAGACTTGCAAGAGGCATGTGCAGTTGAGAATTGATAAACTTGAAGGTGCGTTAGGTGGGATTCAAACAGAGGAGGGAGCTATTTTGTATCTTTGTCCTTGCCATGTAAATATTAAACCTTCTGGTATAAGCCATCTATAGCTTTGTTAAGTAGAATCTTAGTCAAGAATTGATATGTTCTTCTCATCTCGCTCACTCTTCTTGGGATTTGTTTCAACACTACAATCTCCTTCCCTTTATATTCCAATTTTCTATCTCTTGTTTTCTGTAGAATTTGTGATTTAATTATTTTCTTAGTAAATCTTACATGGACTTCCCTCAGTAATCCATTTCTCGCTCCATATCTAATGTAGACTCGAAACACCTCGTCTATGCCA